TTCCGATGCTTCCATGACAAATAAAAACTACAGCTCTGGGCATTTTTTCTCCGTGATTACTTGTTTCTCTGTGCTAAAGGAAAGTGGATGGATGTGGTGACTCTGTGAGAGCAGAGCAGTGGTGTCTGGGAGAGAACTGGGGTGATTTTTAGTCATGAAGTTGATCTGGGTGCCAGGAACACACATCTGTGTCTCCTCCCTGTTTCCATCTTCGTCAGGCTGGCGTTGGTGGGCATGCAGGCTGAGTTTTTCCTTCAGGACAGAGCCTGAAAGCAGAGTGGAGAGGTGGAATCTGGGGCTGAGAGTTGAGCTGCTCTGCCTCTGAGATGTTGGTTTGATGCTCAGCTCCCAGCAGATCCTGGCAGAGAGGACTGGGCAGCTCATTTTGCCTGCCTGGTTTAAAATGTCTAGGTTGTTTTTTTTCCCTTCTCCCTCAAATACTCAGCAGTTTGAAGTGTGCCTGTGCCTGTTCCATACTGCAGCAGCTCCCTAGTTGTCTGTAGGACACCAGAAGGGCTCTTAGTGACTGTCTCTAAAATGCCTGGGTTTGAATTGCTGTTTTCAAGACCATGGAGCATCTTGCTGGCATAGAAAACCAGCAGACCTTCAGGTCCGTGTTTCACCACCTCAGCTGAAAGGCCCTTGTTCACCTTGGAGAAACGTATCCAAGAGAGATGAGAGAGTTGTGTGACATCCTGATGGCACTTTGTAGTCTTTGAATCCTTCCTGAGTCATTGGTTTTGCCAAGTAATGACCTCAGTAATGCAGTTTTCTGGGTGTTGTGTTTTTAAGGTGTTCATCAACTCAGACCCTCCATGTCACAACCACCCAGGCTGCTACCAGCTCAGGTGACCTCCACACGAGTTCAGGGCACGGTGGCAGCAGTAGCCAGGGGAAGCCACATCCACTGTCCCGTCTATTCTTCCACACCTTTTAACAGTCTGCAGTTCCCCAGCTCTTGCTTCAGCCCAGGGTTTTTGCCAGAGGGCTCCTGGGCTCACTGTCCCACCAGATCCTGGCTGCTCCTCCAATCTGTTCCTCAGCCTGTCCCTGCTGATCCTTGTTCCCAGCCTGCTTCCCTGGCCTTTCCTCTCACAGTGTGTCCAGCCAGTTCTCACTTTCCTTCTTTACCCTGACCTTTAATCCTAATCTTATTCCAGTTTCTCATTTAATCTGCCTCTTCATCCCCACTGTTCATGTTTCTGAGTTACATTTTCATGGGAAGAGTGAAAAAAAAAACAGCCATGACTTAAAGCAACTTGGTGACAGACTTTTTCTGTAAAGCCAGAGTGTTGTAGAGCTTTTCAGAAGGGGGAGCAGTGACTTGGACATGCAGAATAATTCATTTTCTTGCTGAAATGTTGAACCTGGAAAAGTTAATCTTGAGTTATTAAAGTCTGTCAGGGTTGCAAATGGGTAGGAGGGAATCCTATAAAATGTACCTGTACACACTTAGCTCCTCGTGCTACAGGACAAGGGGCACCTGAATTGAAAGACAGTAGGTTTAGTGAGATAATAAATTGTAATTAGCCAGAGCTAATTACCATAGATTATTAAGAGCGTGGTAGGAAAGGATGGACATGAGGAGTTTGTGAAGTGGTGAGTTTGCAGGGATGAGTGTGAGGGATGCAGGGGTGAAGGTTCTTCTCCTCCCTCACCTTGGTTTAAGGAAGGTCTCTCCAAGATTTGGTGACTGCCAGTGCTCCAGTCTGGTCTGGTTGGAAGGGAGATGGAGAAGGCTTCAGCCTAGGAAAAAGAGAAGCAGGGGAAGCAGGAGAGGGGGCAAATCTGGAGTCATTCCAAGAAATTCTTCCTAACCCCAGCAGCAGGAGGGCCAGGCTCATTAATCAGGCAGCAGGTTCAGAAGGAGCCAAAAGCAGTAATTCTGTCACACAGCCTGTAGCTTCACAGAGCAGCTCACTCCCACAAGAGATGGCTGCCAGAAGTCAGAGCAGTTCAAAAAGCCTGTTTGAACAATTCCTCACTGGCAGCCCTCTGCTGGAATCCTGCCAGGCTCAGAAAGCCTAGAAAGTCCTCTTGGAGAGGCCTTGGTTTGTGCTTGCCCTGCTCTTGGGAGGAGCAGGAATTGCTCTTGAGAGCTGCCAGACCAAATACTGTGCCAGGAGGGGAGCTCACCTGGCCTGCTGCAGCTCTCCTTGGGTTCACACCATTTCAGCCCCCAGAAGGCCAGTCCCACCATGGCTGAGCTGACAGCTCCATCTGAAAAATCATTCATTAAAGGGCTGCTTGTTCTTGAAGGAAGTGGGAGCTTCCTCCTGATTTGCAGGGTTGCCCAAGGCAATGACATTAAAACTAAGGTTAATGTGAGGTTAACACTTGTTCCTCACAAATAATTTCCTTCTTAACGGGGATCTGATCTAACCATTTCCAGCCACACTTTTTTTAATGGAAAGGGAGGTGCCTTCACTTGAGTTTCCCTAATGAACATTGTCAGAAGAATTGAGAGGGTTGGTGTTCAGAGCACAGATCATCTCCCTAGGAGCTATTAAATGCCCTCTGCTCCCTTGGAGCTATTAAATTCCAATTATTAATACTTGTGTTTAATCTTAGCTTACATCTGAGGCTCTCAAAGCCCTCCAGAAACGTTTCTCTTTGCAGCAGCAGCAGCACTTCCTTAGGCCTGACTGGTGTTACCTGAGAGGCACCCTCCAAGCTTGGCATGTTTGGTCCAGGAGTGCCAGCAGGTCCTGCCCCAATCTGCTGAAGGCAGCAGATAGACAGGGCATGGAAGGGAACACTAGCTCTTCCCAGCTCCAGTGGCTGTGGAGCTGAACACACCAGTCAGGTGACAGACACCCTGTTTCCTCCAGAGCTGATTGAGGCTGCTCACCCTGATTCCTTTGACAGCCTCATCTGATGTTTGATGCTTTATCTCCAGAACCTTCAGGATCTTTAATAAACTTTCAGGTCTAATTGCTGGCCTGCCCACAGGTAAGATGTTTTTAGCTAAAAAACACCATTTTTCTCATTTGATGTTTCTCCAGGGGTTCACTAATTAGTATGAATATATTTTGTTTCCTCTCAGTCCCATCTCTCCACCACAGTCAGTTGGGTTTATATTGGCTTTACCTCCTGGACTCACATCTGAGCTGCATTTTAGGAGCTGCTGAGCTTGTAGTTCATACATGCTTTGGAACACAGGATCCTTTCACTGTTCACTGATGTTGACTTTATTTTGCCTTTTTTTTTTTTTCTTTTTTTTCCAAGCTGAATCTGATGCTCAGAAATTGAGGTCTCTCCAGCTGCCAAGATGGTCATCAATGTCTGTCTCCCCCAGTTCAAGCCAAGAATTCACTGCAACAAGGTAAAATAACAATGTGAGGGGCTTGGGGGAGCTGGAGGGTTTAGGTGGGAATTATAATCTGGGATAATTAACAGTGTTTCTGGAAGAGTGATTTTTGGTTGGCCATGCCTGGCTTTCCTGGGAAGACAAAGCAAAGGGGACTCACAGCAAACTCCCATCATTTTGTGTGGTCTGGTTGATTCAGAGAAGGGTTTCCATCTGGGAGGCTGTGTGTGTCCACTGGCAGCAGGAGCACCAAGAACTGGGCCAGGAAAGGTGTGGGCTTTTTAGTCTGCAAAGCTGAGAGCATTTTTGTCCATAAAAATGGTTTTCCAGTGACGTTGAGGGTTGGGATTTAGGCAGGTTTGCTCACAGCTGTCTCTTCCAAGCTCACCAGTCTGCTGTCATTCCCAGCAAGGAGGTTTTGTCAGCTGATGGTGGGAAGCTGGGCTCCTGGATCCCCTTCCCTGTTTGTGATTCCATCTTGAGACAGTCACTGACATGTGAGCACCAGGAGAACCCATGTCTGGGGCTTCAGGAGCTGCAGCTCACTTGAAGATGAAGTGGAGCTGGAGGCTCAGTAGTTTGAAAAACCAGTACTGAGAGATTTCCCACAAGTTGTTCTCTAGTATTTATCTTGTCTGTGCTTTGGTCAATCCCTGCCAGGTGGTGTTAGGACACTGTATAACTTTGTGTGACTGCTCTGGTGTGGCCCATGCCATGATTTGAAGGGAAAAAGCCCTAATTTTGCAGGATCTCATAACAAAACAGTGTTAGGTGCCTGCAGGTACTTGTGCTTTGCCTTGAGATGCTTTTTTCCCTGCAATATTGGAGTTTTCCCCATGCCCAGTAGAATATGCAGCTCTTGGCAAGGCCTGCTGAAGTTACTCTGTTCTACAGTCACTTTTTTACTCAGCATCATCAGAATCTCTTAGGTACTTACTCCTTTTTAATTCAAGGCCATTTTTTAATTGTACATCTCCCCACCAACTCGTGCCTCAAAATACAAGATTGTTGTGATCAGGAGGGTGGAAAGGAAGGTAGCAAGAGGAATAAATAGATATTCCTTGCTGTTATCTATTAATTTAGCCAGTGCTGCAGACTTTTTAGCTCCCAGGGCTTCCAGGGAAGAGAATATGAGCAGAGCCAGCCTGTCCAGGGTCAGACCAGAGGCTGGGATGGCAAGTTCTGGGAAACATGGGGTGCGACCCAGCCTGGTTAGATGAGTCTCCCTCAAGGTTGGGTAGT